CCCCAAAACCCCAAAACCCCAAAACCCCAAAACCCCAAAACCCCAAAACCCCAGCACTCTCACAACATATTGAAAGTCATTCACAACTCCTCTTAATCATCTTCCACCTCCACGATAACTTTCTCCATTCCAGCCTCTTTCAAAATCTTCTCAGCAACTTCCTTCTCCATCTCTCAATTGCCTACATAAATCCTAAACGCTCTGTCCGGCTCAGCCTCGGCTAGGCCCTTCGCTATATTCCTGAACTGCTTGAACCCGTCTTTCTTCCAGTTACTATAAGCGCTACTTCCAGTGTAGCCTAGACATAGTCTCTGGAACGAAGCTTGGGATAGTCTGCCCCTGAAGGAAAGTTCTTTAGTGGTGTCGACTCTGCATTCGAAGATCCCGATTTCGGAGCAGGTTTGACTGGCGATTATGATGTCTTCGAACTGGGATTTTGATATGGTGAACTGGAAGATGTAGATTTCTTGTGGGATTCAAGGGAGGGATTTTTTGAGGGATGGCATGTAGGTGGTGATGGAGGGGAAGGAAGGGTCGTCTGAGTAGAAGGAGAATTGGGTGATGTCACTACTCAGCGCATTCTTCAAAAACCTATTAACAACCTTAGGCTCCTCTCACTTGCCAACCTGATCCACAATCACGCTCTTCAACCTCGGCAACCTTCACACTTGAAGTGCCTTCATCAGTACTACAGAATTAGCCTTGTCCAGACTAAACCTGACTGAAGAGTCTGCATTGAAGGCCACCGCTTTCTTATGCAGAGCCTTGTACAGGGATTTTAGCTGGTCGTGACTGTAACTGTGGGATGACTGTGCGAGGGATTTTTGGAGGTGGGCGAGTTGGGTCTTGGTGGTGGTGAGCTGGTTGGTGAGGGTGGTGTTTTGTGCGGTGAGGGAGGTGATTGTGGAGTGGGATTGCCTAGAGATTTCGTTTGAGACAATCAATATCAAAAGTATAACAAATTAATTTCTCTTCTTAATTAGCTCAAGGTTATTCTTTTCTTACTGCAATGCTTGAAGCTGGTCGTTCTTCTGGCTGATTTCCTTTGCTGCTTTTTGTAGCTTTTCTTTCAGAGGCTCGATTTGTTCTGTATTGTATTTATCTTCAATTTCCATCAGTTTCTTCCTGAGGAAGGCCTGAGTGTCTCCATCTCTGAGAGTCACCCCTCTTTTGGAAGCTTGGAATGACCTGGAAAGTAGCTGTCTGTTATAGTGCTTCATCAGGTCGCTTTCGAAGATGAGGTTGAGGAAGTCTCTAGCATCTGATTGGAGTTGGACAAGGTTCCACCATTGACCTTCTACTTCGACCTCTTTGAACCTAGCTGCACAGATTGAATATTAAAGGGGCTAATAAATCCTGGAATTTTAATGATGAACAGTTTTAAGGATGCGGGTTCAAATAAAGATGCTTATGAGTTTCTAAGTATGAAAGAAGCAGGGGAACTAGCTTGAGCTAGAGTCAAATCATGAATTAAGATAAAGCATCGATTAGTATAAATTAGACAAACATTTAGAATGGCTGGTTTTAGGTAAAGTTTAAGTGAATTTGGGACACTAAAACTTTAATAATTTTTATCGTTGTTAGGTAAAGCGAAAGAAGCGAGTGAATACCCAAATTGCCACTATTTGAGTAATGATATGAAAATAGCAAGGATTTTTAAGTAAATTTCATACTCCTGAGATCTATACATGTCTCTTTGAAATGGTTCAGGTCAGGAAGGAATCCATTCCATATGTCATCAAGGTTGTTCTGATCTTTGAACTCTGATATCTGGCTGACATTGTATTCAGCTAAGTATTCGTTAAAAGTATGTAGCAGTAACTTCAGAAAATCCTTGGTTTACAGAAAAATTACTAGGTCAGTTCGAAGCCTAATTAAGAGAGCTAATAAAATTTATGAGAGTCTCAATCAATAGCACCAATGAGCGTGCTGATTTGATATGGTGTTTAGGATACCTACCTCAGCCTAAACATTCATTTATAGGCTTTAGCTGTGGAATCGGCTCTCAGTGTTCAGCCGAATAAGTAGTAATCATGCAAGTTGAGCAAATAAATGTATCTCGCTTGAGAGGATTGACTGCAGTCTTCTTGATCATGTACGATATCTTCTCACACCCTGGAGTAGATTTGCACTTTGGTAGTTTAATCATTACTATTTTCAGTTATAAATACATTATCCGGGGTTTTGGGGTTTTGGGGTTTTGGGGTTTTGGGG